TTAATATTAAACAAGTTTTGTGCATTAAGTCCTCATCTCAAAGTGTGCGCATGTTCACTAACAAAAAAAAATTAATTCTAGAAAATTGACATAAATTTACCAAACAACCATCCTAAACGTACCCTGGAAATTTCTTTATTGTATGTTTTATAATAAACCAGATATAAAGGATTTTATTTCCTACTGAACTATTATTAGTGTAGTCAAGTTATCGGAATTTAGGTCCAACTTCTGAAAAAATTATATACAAATGTTTATGAGTGGGAACATACAGATAATGTGGCCCTAGATGACATACTAAAAGTCCCGTAGATTCTGACAATTGCAAGTTGCAAAAAAGTGGCCGCCAATAGCTTTGTTTGTTTATTTGCACCAATATGGCACTTTCTACTCCAAATGTATTTTAATCCCTATTTTTTTGTTAGTTTGACAGAGACAGACTGATTTTTTGCTGCACCTGGTGCAGGTTGGTGTAACTTTGGTGCAAATAAACAAACAAACCCATTATGATCGTCTCGCCCAGCTGCTGCGGTTTATTAGAGCAGGAAGATCAGGCAACTTCACAATTACTGTTTAAAATTGATAGTCCGGATATTTTACGCAACACCTTTATCTACAACAGATTCAGAAACTTCATAATAGGTATGAGTCCTGAAAACTATGAAAAATTTGTTGATGAAGGAATGTTCACTTGTGAGAAGAACCAACGGCTTTTGGTCCGGTACTTGGACCGACATAGTGATCGAGCAGAATTTGATGAGGTCAATCAAAACAACTGGTGGCCTAACTTATAGACGCGGATCACTAATTCGTCTTTGGCCAGATGGATTGCTGATATGTCAGTTTGTATGCCTGTTACAAAAGCTTTTGGAATGTAAGTCTGTGACTTCAGAACAGCATATAGAATTGAGTCGCTCGCGCCAGCAACGTGACAAAACTGATTCGCGAGAAATTCAAGATTGGCTAAAATACAATCCTTATAGATGCAAGGAGTTAGGAGTTCATGTCAGTTTTCCTTGGAAGAATAGCTAAATCCGATATAAACTGCGATTTAGCAAATAAAATTGGAAGAACAGTACTAACAAAAAATATAGACAAAGTATTCACAGATATTAAATGCAAGCGAACGGATCAACTCAAAAAATTTTCACAAATGAGCAACATTATTAAAATTAATCAGAATTATGTTAAGGCGTCCCGTATACAATTATTTAATAGCACTGTCGTAACTAGCCATCTGACCTGGGGGGGCCTAGGGTGGGCTTAGGCTGGGCCTGGCAGAGGCGCCGATTTTTGAAAGTCCTCATGGGTGCAGGATAATATTTTTATTTTGTTTATAGGGCGAGCTCGCCGCAGGCGCTGGCGAAGGCGAAATTTTTTCATAGTGTATACCGGTCTGGCAAGTGAACATCTTACATGCCAATTTAAATGCAATAGAATGAAACATCTAGAAAAAGTCTAAAGGTTGAATAGAGAACGGAAACGATTTCCTTTGTTCCACCTCCAGCGTTCCAAGCGCTGCATGCTGGAGGTGGAACAAGGGAGATCGTTTTCGTTCTCTATTTAAACTTGGACTCTTCCTATACATTTCATTCTATTGCATTAAAATAGACCGATCTCCTATTACCTGGACTGCGCGCGTCGCTTGTAGGCTGCAGGTGAGCGTCCAATGAGAAGCAAGTTTATGACAGGCTTGCCTCATATTCTTATTCAGGGGCCAGTTCAGAATGAATCGTTCCTTCTTTCTTTGTAACGTGTAATTTGACAAAGAGCAAACTAATACTTTACATATTACTTGAACTCACCGCAGTTTCGTTTAAGGTTATGTTAGATTATACTTGACGCATTCCTTCACAATTTCATTGAGCGATGTTGCCGGATGAAACATTTATCAAAATAAAAGTGCAAACGATGTTTATCCATTTCAAAGCTCTTCTTTTGTCTGATTTAAGGCGTTGTGAAACACTTGAGACTATATTACTTCTTTAATGTTATAATGTTGGATTTGTATTGTCTACATTTGTTCTGAAACAATACAATCTGACTACACTGCAGCCTACGAGTTGCGCGCGCATGTCATCTTTTATTCTTTTCTAACTTGTATTTATTACAATGAAGTTTCCTTTTTTTAATCATGGGAGATAGGTCTATTAGCCTGTAAGATGCTGGCTTGCCAGACCTGTATATTTTTATATTTTTCTCTACTATCGTGCGAAAAGTGCTTCTTTCTGCACGCATTTCAGGCCAGAAAAATATCACTTCTTCGCACTAGTATGCGGAAAAGTAGAATAATTATGCAATTTAAGGTTACCCTGGTACTTTTATGTCCTAAAATGCCTCATGTCCCGATTATTATCAAAGAATAGAGATGGAGATGGAGAATAGTAACATTAGCATTATAAAGTAATAGAGCATAGAACTGACCACAAATAACAAAAGGACAGAATACTAATACCTTCCTAATCTAAGACTAATACCACTTGTATAATTCTTATACGAAGTTGTGTAAATTTGAATTACATGATACCCACGAGAGCTCCGAGTACCCATGAGAGGTTGCTTATGGGAGCACCTGCCCCAATGCCCCCATGTACTCGGCGCCAGTGGCCTGGGGCCTGTAATTGTAACTTATTGGAATTTTCAAAAAAGTAGAACAGTGCATTTACTCAGGTATTTTCGAGGATTAGTTATGAAAACCTGGATTAGATATAGTATGTAATTTTAAGATACAAGAGTGGATAGGATATATGTTAGATCCGTTATTCTATAGATGGGAACTAGATAGAGATGAACATCTTGCACCTACAGCCGTAACAAAAGAAATTGCCCCCTCTGATATACTAAAAATGGTATTCTGTAATTGCAAGGAAGGGACATGCAACAAGGCATGCTCCTGCAGAAAACTTGGATTAAAATGTTCTGCAAAATAAGTCAATGCTTAGGAATGATTTGCTGGAATTCGTGCATCGTATATGAAAAAATGATGATTCTTTTGTGAAACTGGAAAAAGTCAGTAATTATTTAAATATATGTTACTAACCCAACAAATGTAAATTTGCATTTTAAGTAAAAAATATCCCTACACTTTTCCTCATAAACCTGATAGTTTTTGAGATATTTGCAATAAAATGTAAAAAACAAAATGGCGGCCGTTTGCCAGAGACATAATCCATGGGACTTTTAGTATGATGTTTAGAACGTTACTCCTCGTACATTTTGGTTAAGAAATGCTTGTATAGAATTTTTTCAGGTTCAACATCTAACTTGCCTACACTATATAACCAATACCTTGGTTACGATAATCATAAACAGGGTCTTAACTCCCCCGCTTTTACCTTGAATAGGTGAAACTTTGACAAAAAATAGAAATTTAGGTTTATGGTTTATTTCTTTATAAAAATGGACAAAATACAGTAAATTCAGTAGGAAATAAAATTATCTATGTACCACGGGAATTATCAGGTGTTAATACCCACGGGCAATTGGTGTCCCTCGGGCCGAAGGCCCTCGGGACACAAACTTTGCCCTGGGGTATTAACACCCTCATCATTCCCTTGATACTTAAATAACTATTATAAAATGCACTTTTACCTTTTTGGTCGTGTATATCCGTTCCTATTCCGAGTTCAAAGAAGTTGATGACAGATTATTTGTAGGCACTTGATTGCGCAACTTTTTCGCCATTTGGTCCACCCTGTATCTTCAATGGTTTTCAACGGTCCCATGTACCATAAAACAAGTTAAAATTTTAAAAATTTATTCATAAAACTTCCCTAAAGAATTCTTTAATATCATAATAAGCCTTGGTCAAAAGTAATTTCCTTAATCCCTTCCTAAACTCCTTGTATAATCGTGAAGACCTAATGATCTGTGGTGAAAGAGGCTTTTTAGCATAATAAACATGCTACTAGAACATGTCCATTCTAATTTAATTTAGTTCTATTACGCTCTGGTTTCGAGTAAGATTACATAAAAAGTGCATCTGATTCGACACTTTATTAATAGTTTTGACCTTCTCAATGGATTCAGTTGTAATGACGGCCAACAATTTTTATTCCTATAACACACATGGAAAGTTAGAACTCTCAAGAAATTCAAAGAAGTGATGAGAAATGATCATAGTGATTGAAGAAATCCTGTTTTATTGCATGGCTAGAGCCTTCAACTCAACACGAAAGCGAAGTACATTCGACTCAGTGGGATACATAACTACATAATAATAGTAGACGACCTAAGGAATTCAATTTAGCAAGAATCAATTATTTGCCCCTTCAGCAATAAGGTGCTCAAAAGTATATTTTAGTGTTAAGTAAGCCTTTGCGATTGACCTAATATTTTCTACAAAAATTGTTTAAATGTTTGAAATGCCATATCTGTTTTATTCTCTGGTTTGAACCACTAAAATAGTTGTTTCAACTTATGTAGACAAATTTTGGAAAAAAGATACCTACAGGCAGAAAACTAAGTTTCCAAAAAAAAAGTATTACCTATGAAACAAAATCCTTCAAGAACCATAAAACTGAAAGATTTCAGGTATCGCTTTGTCAAACTAAAATTAAATCCAGTGCAACTCAAATTTGTTCTATTTATATCGCAGTCTGGGTTTTTAAGCCTAGAAAAATAACCACACAATTTTGGTTTTATATAACTGAAATTCACGTTGGTGATAAGGTTTTGGCTTTAGCTGAGGAATTCTAGCCTTGAACAGAATATTAATTGTCGACCTTGTCGGTTTATATAATGTTAAATTAATATATCTTGTTTGGCAGGTTTCTCTGTTTCAATGGACATTTAATATTAGTGCGTATTTTATTATGAATGAATGGTCAGACATTTTTAAATGAAAAATTATTTTTTTAAATCAATAAATAATCTCCTCTAAATATCCTATAGTATTACACACTTTTTCTGTAGATATTCTTGTCTGGTCTCTATTTATGAGCTGTTTTATTTTTGCCTACAAAACCAATTATATAATTGCTGAATTATTTTTTGTCTAGACTACCAGAAGATCAACCCAGGTAAAGTAGAAAAATGCCAGTCAGTTTCCCATCCAAAAAATTCTGCTGTAAAGCACTCAAAATTTAAGTTAAAAAATATCTGGAAGCCTTGTGTCGTGTTTTGTCCGAAAAGCAAAAAATTATCGTCTTCAAATTAATTTGGGTAACTATGAGGATAAGTATGCAACATTTTTCAATTTACCCCTTTTTTGATGTAGATTTTTGTTGTGTTGAAGCTCAATTGTAGAATCCCAGTTTTCCCTGATGAGGGTTTACTAATTTCTTGTTGGGGTATATTACAAGCTTGGTACATTTAATGTGAAATTTTACCTTAAAAAACACCTGGTAAAATTTTGTGACAAAATTAAGGTAAGTTAGTGGCTTGGTGGTAATCAATATGTAGGAACTCTACCTCTTAGTTGACCAAAACTATGCGGGTGTAAAATATAAGGCTTTCAAGATAAAATGTACTCATACCTTATCTAGAAGCTTATTTTGTGTTTTATTAGGTATAGGTACCTATATTTAGATTATTTTTGTTGTATTTAGATATTTCCTCTGGTTGAAGGGTAGAATAAAGAAATGAGTGTTTTTAACCAGCTACAGTTTCTATTTTGTAGCTAAAGAAATTGACAGGTTAAGTTTTTACCCCTTGTCAACCTATTCTGGGCTGGGGACCAATGCTTGACTCAGAAGGGCTATGTTAATTATTTCTGCTATAGTTGTTCCACTTTCTGAGTCGAGAATTCATTCCCAAACCGCTTAAAACCATTCGCTTCTGCGACTAACAATCAACACAAAAAAAATGTTTCAAGCTTCGCATTTCAACTAAAACCGTCAACCATTAACCACCAAGTTTGTTTGAAAAGAAAATATTTGAGAATTGGCGACATTGTTGCCGGATAAATGCTTTTTTCCTTCTGTTTCAGGAGCCACCTATGGCACTGGCATTACTGCTATTAAACTAACTGCACTGGGCAGACCACAACTTTTGGTGAGTAAATTTGTTTTCTTCATTTAGGTACTCAATACACTATGAATATTTCACATCGCGTTAGTTATAGTACACACACCAGCAAAATTAGAGGAACAGACAAAATTTACACTAAGTTTGACAGCAATTTTCTCTTGAACCCTCTGCTGATGAATTTTTCACAGATTATAGCTTGATTCTTCAGGAATACATATGACGTATTACCGTTATTAAATGATTTATATCATATACAGGGATGGAAAAAAATCAGTAATTTTCAGAGTTTTTTGAGACACCCTGTGGAGTGAACCACTGGAAATTCAGAACATTTCTCAACACCAAATTGTAGCCTGATCTTTTCCGAATATTTTCATTTTTTATTCACTCTAATATTTTCAATATTATTAAAAATACAGAGTTTCGAAGAAAAGGTGGATATGACGATAGTATAAAATTGGATAAGAATGTTGACTTTAATCTGTGGTTAACTTTTGCTTAACTTTGACTGGACAGTAACTAACGACAGAAACAAAATTGTATTTGTAAACGTCACAGGTAAACTTAATTTTTCCTGTTCCAATAGGATTGATAAATTCGTCAAAATCCTACCCATGCGGCGAGGTCTGTTGAAGGATAAATTGGAGAACTCCTCCTTGGTAACTATGAAGGGACAGTTTGGAGAGTTTAGTTTAGATAAATAAATAACACTCAACCAAATGGAAAGCATGAAAGGGACTTTCTGATTCCCCTGTATATTTGTGAGCATAATAAATTGATCGGTAAGAGGTAGTACTGCGAGCAATATTTATCTTGAAGTAAACTTTCACACACACGACTTGAAGTTAGAAAAATCAAGGGGTAAACCACCATCCCAGAATTTGTGCAAATAATTCCTCAAAGGGGAATTTTTTACGAATAATTCCTCCAAATTCCCCACAAATTCCTTCAGATAGGTACCTCATAAAAAATTCCTCCAAATACCCCACCACAAATTTCTCCAAATGCCCCACAAATTCCTCTAAATTCCCTGCAAATTCCTCCAAATTACCACAAAAAGTTGAACAACTTTTCAAGACCATAAACAATAAATTCAATCGAGAGTAGAAAATAATAACATGAATAATCTTGAAAATCAACCTAAAATAACTGAATTACTTGAAAATACAATCTCAGACATTTCAAAATTTTCCTAGAAAACTAGTGAAAGAAAAAATTTGAAACTTTTTGCATGTAAAGAGGAAGGTGAGAAGCTCGTTCTCCCAAAATTTCAATTTTTTCCAGTGGAAAATAACAACATGAAGAATTTTAGAAATCAACCTACAATAACTAAATTAATTAAAAATACTGTCTCACACAATTCAAAGTTTTCCTGGAAAACTAGTGAAGGGAAAATTTCGATTTTTTTTGCATGTAAAAAGAAAGGGGAGAAGCTCATTTTCCCAAAATTTCAAATTTTTCCAGTGGAAAATAACAACATGAAAAATCTTGGAAATCAACTTACAAGAACTGAAATAATTGTGAATACAGGCTCACACAATTCAAAGTTTTCCTGGAAAACCAATTAAGGGAAAATTTTGAAACTTTTTGCATGTGAAGAGGAAGGTCAGAGGCTCATTTTCACAAAATTTCAAATTTTTTCAGTGAAAAATAATAACATGAAGAATCTTGGAAATCAACCTCCAATAACTGAATTACATACACATAATAGGGTACTTGCATGAAAAATTAAATTGATTATTGTTTATTGCAAACTGTAGGAAATCGAACAAAAATCGATGCGTGTTTTTTTATTTTGCCCAAATATGATTATTTCGAAAGTTATACAAATATTGAGTTTTGTATGTATAGATATACTGAGCATGTGCGACGTCACAACGTATTATGAGTTATGACGTCAGAAGGACATTTCAAAGCGTTGTATCTCCGTCAATTTTTGACTAACAAGAAAAATAAAAAACACGTGTTAACTTATTTTTCATGGACTATCGAAATCAGCAATAAAAAATTTGATGCAAGGGGCCTATTGAAAATACAGTCTCAAATATTTCAAAATTATCCTGAAAAACTAGTGAAGGGAAAATTTTGAAACTTTTTGCATGTGAAAAAGAAGGTTAGAAGCTCATTTTCCCAAAATTTCAAATTTTTCCAGTAGAAAATAACAACTGAGGAATTTTGGAAATTAACCTATAATAACTGAATTAATTGAAAATACAGTCTCACACATTTCAAAGTTTTCCTGGAAAACTAGTGAAGGGAAAATTTTGAAACTTTTTGCATGTAAAGAGGAAGGGGAGAAGCTCATTTTCCCAAAGTTTCAAATTTTTCCAGTGGAAAATAACAACATGAAAAATCTTGGAAATCAACTTACAAAAACTGAAATAATTGTTGATACTGTCTCACACAATTCAAAGTTTTCCTGGAAATCTAATTAAGGGAAAATTTTGGAACTTTTTGCATATGAAGAGGAAGGTCAGAGGCTCATTTTCACAAAATTCCAAATTACTACAGTGGAAAACAACAACATGATGAATCTTCCAAATCAACCTCCAATAAACTGAATTGATTGAAAATACAGTCTCACACATTCCAAAGCTTTCCTGGAAAACTAGTGAAGGGAAAATTTTGAAACTTTTTGCATGTGAAGAGAAAGGACAGAGGCTCATTTTCTCAAAATTTCAAATTTTTCTAATATGTAGAAAATAACATGAGGAATCTTAGAAATTAACCTATAACAACTGAATTAATTGAAAATACAGTCTCACACAATTCAAAGTTTTCCTGGAAAACTAATTAAGGGAAAATTTGGAAACTTTACATGTGAAGAGGGAGGTCAGAGGCTCGTTTTTCCAAAATTTCAAATTTTTCCAGTAGAAAATAACATATGGAGAAATGGAGAATCTTGGAAATCAACCTCCAATAACTGAATTAATTGAAAATACAGTCTCACACATTTCAATGTTTTCCTGGAAAACTAGTGAAGGCAAAAATTTGAAACTTTTTGCACATAGGGAGTAGAAAGGTTAAAGGCTCATTTTCCCAAAATTTCAAATTTTTCCAGTAGAAAATAACATGAGGAATATTGGAAATCAACCTACAATAACTGAATTATTAAAAAATACAGTCTCACACATTTCAAAGTTTTCCTGGAAAACTATTAAACGGAAAAATTTGAAACTTTTTGCATGTCGAGAGGAAGGTGAGAACCTCATTTTCCCAAAATTTCAAATTTTTCCAGTGGAAAATAACAACATGAAGAATTTTGGAAATCAACTTACAAAAACTGAATTAGTTGAAAAATCTAAGGAAAATACCGTCTCACACATTTCAAAGTTTTCCTGGAAAACTAGTGAAAGGAAAAATTTGACACTTTTTGCATTTTAAGAGGAAGGCCAGAGGCTCGTTTTTCCAAAATTTCAAATTTTTCCAGTAGAAACCAACAACATATGAAGAATCTTGGAAATCAACCTCCAATAACTGAATTAATTGAAAATAAAGTCTCACACATTTCAAATTTTTCCTGGAAAACTAGTGAAGGCAAAAATTTGAAACTTTTTTTATGTAAAGAGAAAGGGGAGAAGCAAATTCCTCATAAATTTCTTTAAATTCCCTATAAATTCTCCAAATTCTCATAAATTCCGAGCTCCTTCAAATTCCCCAAAAAATCCTCTAAATTCTTCACATTTTTGGCGAAGAATTTCTAGCTGGTTAGCCTCTTGGGAAAAATGGATAACGACACATTTTCATATACAAATTCGTATGTCGACGTGGAGAAAATTAAAGTCACTATTCACCTTTTCTTCGACACTCTGTATTTTCAATACTATTGAAAATATCAGAGTGAATAAAAAACGAAAATGTTCGGAAAAAATCAGGCTACAATAAGGTGTTGAAAACTGTTCTGAATTTCCATTGGTTCACTCCACAGTGTGTCTCAAAAAACTCTGAAAATTACTGACTTTCTTTACATCCTTGTATAATATGATGTAAAGACGAATCTTTTAATAACGGTAATACGTCAAACATATTCCTGAATCAAGCTGATACAATCTGTGAAAAATTCATCGAAACCGAGCGGAAGGTTTAAGAGAAAATTGATGTCAAACTTAGTGTAAATTTTGTCCGTTCCCTCAATTTTGCCGGTGTGTGTAATTCCTGGCTTTTTTTTTGACACTTTACTGCTTCCGTTTCAGCTTCAATTATCTGAAGTAATTATGCGAACTCGTCAATACATGACGGAGATAATGGGCGGAGAAGGAAACGTCTTGAGCCATCACACTAAACCCGAAGAGCTGGAAAAGAAGTTCGATAAAATTCAAGACAAGGAATCCCTACGGAAATTTTTGACACAAGTGACATACGACAAAGAAGGGTAAGTTGCGTTCTCATTGTCCCAATAGTTCGTCGGTATCATCAATCAGATCAAAAAGAGCCTTAAATAAAACAGAGTAACAAGTACTAGTGTGTGTGTTATAGCGGCTTTACACCAAACCGACAAAACAGCTACCCAAGTTGAAAAAAAAAAACAAAAACGCAACTTTTTGCAGATTTTTTGGCAACTTCTGATTTTTCAACAGTTGCTGTTTTGCTTTTTCTTTTCCGGTTTTTTTTTGAAACGGCAACAAAACAGCAACTGAACTAGGAAAAAAAACTATACCCCAAGCTTTAAAAATATTCTGTGTTTATCGCACAGTTTTCTGTCACAGCCCTGGTCTTTGTAGGTGAGAAAATTCTTCTCAACATTTCCCTCTGTTTCCCGCAGTATCCTCCATCTGTTCCCATGGTCTGGTATCATCGACGAGAATCAGCAGCTCAGCAATACCTTCCGGGTACCCGACTTGAAAACTGGCCGCATGGCTCGACTGATCACTCAACTGTCAACAAAGGAAGAAGAGATGTTCAAGAATATGATTAGAAGGATAAATACGATTGTCAAAGTAGGCTTAATGTGGTTGTACTTTTTTTGAAAATAATATTATAATGAGTAAATTTATTTAGGCTGCTCAAGAAATGGATGTGCGCATCATGGTTGATGCTGAACAAACCTATTTCCAACCGGCCATTACTCGAATCACCCTGGAATTTATGAGGAAATACAATAAGGATAAGGCTATTGTTTTCAATACATACCAGTGCTACTTGAGGAATGCTTTGAGTGAAGTTACTACTGATTTGGAGCAAGCTAAACGTCAGAATTTCTATTTTGGTGCTAAGCTTGTACGAGGGGCTTATTTGGAACAAGTAAGTAGAAAATAATTCGTTCTATTCTATTGTTCCCTTTTCATAAAAGAAGTACTTACACGTCATTAAAGAACAAGAAATACAAGTTGTAGACATGATTTTTTAAAAGTCTTCATATATTCTCCATATTTTGGGAGATGGATTCTATCACTATTCCGTCATTTATTCTAGGAATTACATTGATTATCTTCACATTATGCCAAGTCACTTATTTATTTATATTTAATGAGTAACCAATTAAATATAAATAAATCATTTCTAAAAAACCTCAATTAAGAATTTAGGGTACAAGTTATTCCATATTCACTTATTTTTCTGTAATTAAAGACGAGCACTAACAAACCATTCTTTCTGAAGGATTTCGATTCCATGAACAGATCTAATTACGCCTAGATATCAAAATAACCAGAAATGGAAACATGTTTTAGCATAATTTTGGTAAATAATTTAATAAGCTTGCTGTAATTTCAAATTTTTCCTTTTTGTAATTTTCTTCTTAATTAGGAAAGGGCAAGAGCTGCAGCAATGGGCTATCCCGACCCCACCAACCCCAACTTTGACGCTACCACCGATATGTACCACAAAACTTTGACGGAATGCCTTAGAAGAATCAAAGCTTTCAAAGACAAGGGCGAAGAAAAGAAAATTGCCATCATGGTAGCTTCTCATAACGAAGACACTGTACGATTCGCCATTGAAAAAATGGAGGAGTTCAACATTTCGCCCGCTGATAAAGTAATCTGTTTCGGACAGCTGTTGGCCATGTGCGATTACATTACTTTCCCATTAGGTATGAATATATATTTACCAAACATAACAGATTTAAAATAGTTGTAAATTCTAGGTCAATCTGGCTACTCTGCTTATAAATACATCCCCTATGGACCTGTGAACGAGGTACTACCTTATTTGTCGAGAAGAGCTCACGAAAACAAAGGAGTACTAAAGAAAATTAAGAAAGAAAAGAGACTGCTCGCTAAAGAAATTTTGAGACGTATGTTTACAGGACAAATATGGTACACACCTAAAGGCAATTATACTCCAGTATAAATTATTTAAAATGTAAGTGTAAAGTATCAGGTCACATCTTCAAAGTTTGTTCTCACAGGAAATTTGCATTTGATCATTGGCAATCTCAGCGAAGAAATTATTGAGTATGTTATTACATATTTAGTCTTGAGTCAAAAATTTTCCTGCTGTTCTGGATAGGTTATCAGCACTTCTTACGTAATCAATGTTTCAGCACTTTCTTGGGAAGTCCTCTGATTTAAAAGTTACAATAATGATTGACCTAGTTATAATTGCTTCTATTGCAAACCAATACCCTGGTATTCGTTCTCCCAATTTTCAAATTTTTTTTTTCATTTTATTTATTCTTCCATCAGGTTACCAGTTCCCATAACATTGGTTTCGTCATAAGATTTAGTACAAAATAATAATACATAAAGCTAAGTACACATAACTAATACTCAACCTAGTAATGCTAAAAAAAGAACAAAAAAAATATATCACAAGTTGGATTTTAATTTTTGACGTGGTGCATAATAAATGTATCTATTCCGCATAGAATTCCCGTAGTGTGTAGTAGGCTCTCGCTGTGAGATGTTCCATGAGGTTTCTTCTGAACTGCCCATATGTATTGGCCTCCCTTACATTAGTTGGTAGTTTGTTGTATATCTTAGTGCAAGCATAGTATGGTTATTTTTCATAGAAGGTGGATCTGTGGATGGGAAGTACGGGGTTGTTTTTATGTCTCGTCTCGTACTTGTGGATTTCAGAGTTTTTTTTTTGAATTTCTTTTGATTTTTGTGTACATAGAGACTACTGCATGTTATTTGCCCTAAATACTTCTTTAGAGGTGTCCATGGGTTTCAGTCCAAAAATTAGGCGGACTATTCGTTTTTGTGATCCTATTTATCTTTGATGCGTGCGTACCCTCAGAGCATTATATTGTAAGATATGTGTGGGTATGCAAGTGCATAGTAGGTTATTAGCAGAGATAATAACGGAACAGACTGTTTTAATTTCAATAGTGCGTAATCTGTGTTTAGTTCCTTTGAAACATGCTCAAGTTGCTCCTCCCATGACAATCTTTGGCCACTGTAAGAGCCAAGGAATTTAACTACTGGTTCAGCACTGTCAATGGTTACTCGTGGTCCAGTATTTCGAAATGGAACTATGACAGTTTTATTCTTGGTTAGAGAAACACCATGTGTTCATAAGTTCCTGGACCCTTTCGATTTTTCTAACAGCTCGTGTTCGTCTGCTGCTGAAATCAGTACTGTTGTATCATCCGCAAATTTGATGACGAGGTCGGGTATAAGGAGATCATTTATAAATGTTAGAAAAATAAGTGGTGCTTATACAGATCCCTGTGCAACTCCCTCCGATATTTATGCTGTGCTCTGTAGATAGGCTATTTTCAATTTTCACCATGAGTCGCTTTTGGAAGAGAAATGACATGATCCAGGAATTTGCTTTGCCTCTGATTCCAGTGCATTCCAGTTTTTTCCGAGGAAGTCCAGGTTTATTGTGTCGAAAGCTCGTGTTAGGTCGAAAAATAGGCCTACGACAATGCGTTTTTTTTTCCAATTCATTATAAATAAAGTCTGCAAGTTAGAATGAGGCATTTTCAGTGGATTTTCCCTGTTGAAATCCATGCTGATAGGGTGTTATAATGTCGTGCTTTTGCAAGAATGCTTGCAGTCTGTTATAAACAATGCATTCAAAAACTTTTGAAAAGCTGCTGAGCAGGGATATAGGCCTCTTGTTTTCTATATTCTGATGGCGATTTCCATTTGTCAATCAGTGCACACTGAGTGTATCCGCATCTTTTTCTAATAGCATGTAAAATATAACAATAACGATTTTTTTTTTGCATTGGATTCTACAAATGGAAAACGCCGGCGCCGTGAGTGTCCTCCCTTTTTAAAGCAGGCACCACAGTGGTCAAATTTAGGACGTTTGGAAATTGTCCTTTCTCTATTGATTGATTCAACAGAATTTGTAGAGGCACACATACTTCTTCACATATTTTTTTCTAGATAGATGTTGAAATTCCATCAAAGCAAGATGACTTTTTATTTTTTAATGACTCAATTGCCTTTTCAAGGCCAATAACCAATGTTTGCCAATTGTTGGCGCCAGTGCGGTCCCGGCCGCAGCCCATGTTGACATTTGTTAGTGACGTAAAGTTTTTTTTTTTTTTAAAGATAATAGACCTATCTATTTTACCAGACAAAGAGGTAATAATACGAAAACTTCATTAAATAAAAAAAGACACAGAACGCTCATTGCGCAAGACGAGGCAAAACGTACCAAATTATGTTAGACTTACGTATAGCAATCCGTCCTTCTTATTTGCACAGGATAAAAAGGAAAGGAGAAAAACCGCGTGTTGTGCAACGTATTTGTCAATGAAAATGTCAAACAACTTTTGAATGACACTTGTCAAGTTGAATATCAACTTTAGATTTATTCTTGTCAGACCACGTGCAATGAACAAGGATAAAGAGATGCCCAGCGTGCAAAACGATTACCTCACACCTGTATTAGCTAGCCAATAAAAAGACATTGCCTCGTGTTGCGCGCGCATACCAGGTAAAAATAGATAGGTCTATTCCCCAAGTCAAAAATTTAGTAACTATGTTGGCAACACAAGCCTTTTCTACATAAAAAATTTGAAGCATTGACAATTTTACATTAGTTGTTTTCACGTGGCTCCGGTTTAACTAACCGGGTTACAAAACGGTTAGAGAAATGACATACCGTTTTCTAATCCGGTTACAAAGTGACGTGATGGATACCTACCACTCGAATTTGAGCGGTATGTTGCGGTTTGGTAAACCGGAGCCACGTGAAAAGGCTTATTGTATTGCCAACATAATGTCATTTTGACTTTTATCTTTCAAAAAAAACAGATTTTAAAATATGTGCACCTGTCAACATTTTGACTGATAAAATCAGTATTTCGTATACTCTCCACACAAAAAGTCGCAACAAGTTCATCTTTCAACGCTCATATATCAAAGACTGTAATAACTACAAGATTTCGTCCTATTTAAAGGTTGTTAAGAATTAAATCCTCTACAACATATCAAAATTTGAAAAAAATCGACCGATCGCCGAAATCCCATATAAGGTAGTCCCCAGTACATCGACCCTAAAATTTTGTAACTCGTGTACACGCCAAACTTCCTGAGCGGCTTCATAACACCAAGTCGGACAATTTTGTTCATATCTTCAACCTGGGCGATGAGACATTGTCGTGCTAGCTCTTCATGAAGTTGTCATTCTGACGTCCCTGAGAATGGTGATACATGTACATGTAATTTTAATTCCATTCGACTGTTTTTTATGTTATATTAACGATATCACATTTGTCGGACAAAAATCTCGTGGCATTGGAGGGGTCTGACGACCTTAACATGTTGCTGTTGGGGGTGTCCGACCCCCCCCCCCCCCCCCCAATGCCACGAGATTTTGGTCCGACAAATGTGATATCGTTAATATAACATAGAAACAGTCGATTAGAATTAAAATTACATATACATGTATCACCGTTCTCAGGGACGTCAGAATGACAACGTCCCGAAGAGCTAGCGCGACAATGTCCCATCGCCCGGGTTGGAGGTTGGAGATATGAACAAAATTGTCCTACTTGGTGCTATGAAGCCGCTCAGAAAGTTTGGCGTGTACCTACATGAGTTACAAAATTTTAGGGTCGATGTACTGGGGACTAAGGTGTGAGAGGTCCTTTCTCAAAACTGGCTAACTTCATCCTGGCTTTCGTACATTTGAAAAAATAATCGCAGACACCATCAACCTGAACTTTCCAATAAGATGCTAATACAAAGAAGCCATGGTTAAACTCGGGAATCACCAGGAAAATAATTAAGAAAAGGAAGTTCTGGGATAGATAATAGATATCGAAAGCACAAGAGGAAAATTACAATTCTTACAGGTGACAAAACAACAATCTCAACTAGAAAATTCATGAAGCCAAAACCACATATGGAAGTAAAGATAAGCATTTCTTCAGCAACATTAAACGCATCTTGAATAGCAGCACAACCGAATTTGTTCTCAAAGATCCGCTTAATCACTGAAGGAGGACTGAGTGGGAGTTTTTGCGAGACACTTCTCAAAAGTCTATACACTGGAAAAACCAACTCGTATATATATACAGGGAGTGTCTGAAAACAAATGAACGCAGATTACGGGAAAGCGCTGGCTTAAATAAGAAATAATTACTGATGCAAGCATTTACGTTGGCGGATAATGGTACTATAAAGTGTGTTTTTTTTTAAAGATAAAAGTCAAAATGACATTAATGTTGGCAATACAATGTAAAATTGTCAATGCTTTCAATTTTTTTATGTAAAGGCTTGTGTTGCCAACATAGTTCCTGAATTTTTGACTTGGGGAATTATCTTTAAAAAAAAACAGACTTTAGTTGTAATCACGATAGAAAGTGAAGTTGACAGTTCGCATTGACATTTCTAGTAACTTTTTCTTTAGGTTGCCAGCATGCGTTAGTGCTTCGATTCCGTCAGCTGGGATAAACGACAGGGTCGTATTTACAAAAGTGATATACATTTCAGAATAAAAATGTATTTTCAATTTCTTTAAAGTAAGTTAAGTTATTAAAATCCAAAAATCCTAAAATTAGAGTCCAAAGTAAACACTTAAATCCAAACTAAAACCAGGTTTGAAATGCAACACCGAAACACAAAGGCACAGAACACTACATAAAAAACCAAAAAACCGATTGCGATAATAACAAATAAAAAAAATAATGCAGAAAACGGCAAAAAACTGAACGATTTTACACAAAAATTCGAAATTCAAAATTCAAAGACCCGAATCTGATATTTTTATATGTCAAATCAAAATGTCATGTATCATTATTTGATAGTTGTCAGAAAAAGGGACAGATCTGGGGATTTTATTTATTTTCAACTGGTGAAAATAACAGTCAAAATTCACACTCTATCGTGAATACGACTATACCAGCATTCCCGCCCACCAGGGCAGTAAATGACATTTCTACAATTACAGAA